TAATACAGTCCACACACAAAAACATGACAAAGATGTATTTTTTGTAACAAACACAAATGGTCTTAAGATTGCTGATTTTAAGTAAAAAAAATCTGAAGAGCTTCAAGAGTAATTTTGATCATTTATTGTTTGTAAAAACTAGTTTCTGGGTAAGGCACAATTCCATTGAAGTACTTTAAAAATCATTTTTTAAGTGCAATTTATCAGGTACCAGAATGCTATCCAATTTATCAGGTACCAGAACACATTTAGGTTAAAATATGAATGATCTAGAATTCTTACTTGCTCACAACCTACTTTGACTTACAATTAATGGGGCGATTGGCAACTCACAGCACTGCCCCTTTCCACTCTTCCTCCTCAGTCACAGACATATATATGTATGTATTATGTATGTATGTAGCTGTCCCACATGCAGCGGAGAGCCCCTAATGCCACTGCTGCAGTGAGCACAGGCTCCAGTAGGGGAGGGAGCTGCACCTTTGTTCCTGATTTATCCAAAGTTAGCAGATACCACCTGGCACATAGGAACACTAAGGGATGTGCTGAATGAACTCACAATAGCCAAGCCCTGAGCTCACATAGAGAGGATCCAAGTCTCACCTGGGGACCGATGCTGGGGGATAAGAGGACGACTGTGAACTGATGGCACAGGGCCTTAGCTACATGAACCCTGCACATCTGCAGGTGCATTTCAAGTTTCAATCACTTCCCTCCTTTTAAAGAGTAAAACTTTCATTAACACTTCATGGTGCCCCTATTAAAATTAGAACAAGGCCAAAAGCAGCAGCCTCTCTGAGGTGATCATCTTGAGCAAGAGGGAAGGAGTACTGCTCAGCCTGGCAGTTTTCCTTCCTGAAATAGCATAAATCTGAGAGAAGAGATTCTTTGGAAGCTGCTTGGACAGGAGAACAAAAGCATCAGCTCCCTGGCCAGCATTCAAATTGTCAAGATAAAAATAGGCTAACACAAAGAAAATGCATTTAGATCTTCTTCCTAGCTTTTAAAGAACAATTAGGCCGGGCAAGGTGGCTCACGCCTGTAATCCTAGCACTCTGCGAAGCCGAGGCAGGCAGATTGCTCGAGGTCAGGAGTTCAAAACCAGCCTGAGCAAGAGCGAGACCCCGTCTCTACTATAAAAATAGAAAGAAATTAATTGGCCAACTAATATATATAGAAAAAATTAGCTGGGCATGGTGGTGCATGCCTGTAGTCCCAGCTACTCGGGAGGCTGAGGCAGTAGGATTGCTTCAGCCCAGGAGTTTGAGGTTGCTATGAGCTAGGCTGATGCCATGGCACTCACTCTAACCTGGGCAACAAAGCGAGACTGTCTCAAAAAGAAAAAGAAAACCAACAACAATTAAGACCCTAAATTTGACACTTTAATAAACAGTAGCTTTGAAACCTGCCAATCACTGAAGGAGGGTCAATTTTATGAAATACATATCTATGTTATTAGTAACTACCTACACACCAAGGCCTTTTCCCTTTCAAATTTAAATTTTATTAAGAAATATCATATACATAAGAGCACATAAACATACAGTTTGAAAAAGAAAATCCCCACCCAGCTTCAGAAACAGAGCATCAGCAGTTCCTCTGAAGGCCCCTCTTTGCCCTGAAGATCACATCTCCCACCATCCCTCCAACTCAACGGCTAACATCAAATTTTGTGTTAATCATCTTCCTGTTTTTTTTCATTTATCATGTATCTAACAACCTGTTTTTGACTTTCATAGAAATGAAACTGTTGTGGATGCATTCTTCTGTGCCTTGCTTTTGACCATGGTTCACACGTGGAGCTGTGGTTCAGTTTCACTTCTGTGGAATTCCATTGTAGGAATGTACCACAATATTTATCCAACAGACTGCTCATGGACATTTGGGCTTTCCCGGGTTTTTTTTCTTCTTTTCTTCCTATTACAAACAATGCTGCTATGACATTTTTACAGCCATCTCCTGGCACGTATGATAAAGAGTTTCTCTAGGGTATCTAGGAGTGAATGGCATACCCAGTTATGCCAAATTATTTCCCAAAGTTGCTGTTCCTAAGCATTCTTAAAACTGCTGACAACTGATCTACTTGGAATGACTGAAGGGAAGAAACAGATCAACTATGAAACTCTCAAGTTGCATTTTTAAAATAGAAAATTCAAAATTCTAATACAACAGTGAAAAATACATTTACTTCTCAGCTTTGGCTTACTTCAAACTACAGGTTCAACTTAAAAGTGCTACCTCTCATATCTCAAAATAAATGTTTTTGAATATTACTAAGTAAAAACAGCAAGACTCAGAACATATGGGTATACTGTCATATATTTTAAAAGATCTATACATATGGTTATATCCCCCACCTCACATCACCCCACAAAAAATCCACTTGGAAGAATAACTGTTAACAGTAGTATCTCCTGGAGAAGGACAGAGGACAGGAGTAAAAGGAGAGACATAGATCACTAAACACTTTTTTTTAACCGTGTGCAAGCATTACAATGGTAATACAAAATTTCAAAAATGCAGTCACCTGGGGTTCTTTCACAATCAGTCAGAAACTCAAACTTCAAACCCAACCCTGAATGAAGTCCAATCCCATAGAATGTATACACAATAACTTCTCAAGTGTTTTTTGTTTCATGCACATAATAGATGTTTAAAAACATATTCACATAGCTCATCTACAATGCATTCAAAAAAACACAATGAATGCGAGCTCAGAGAACTTCCACCATAAAATTTTTCAGTTTTTACATCTCTAAAAACTTTCACCAGAAGGTGGCTGAGCTCAATGCTTATGTGGTCCAAGTGTTGTCAGACCTTGGAAATAAGGTTAGTTATCCTCTGTGACACTAACTATATTTAAGGAAACAGACTGCCTGCAGGTGAGTAATGCTCTAAAGAGAGGGGTAAAAATATCTGAGCAATATGACTAGGTTATTAAAAGCTCAAGATCAAGACAGCAAGAAAGATATTTCAACTGAAATTGAAAAATAAATGGACGGCTATCTCTTTGAAGAAAAAAAACATGTTTTAACAAAAAGGGACATGATACATAGAGGAGTCCATTTCTACATTGCAGAGAAGATGCCTGGAGGAACAGACTGGTCCTCTTAAGAGCTGCAATGGAAATTAAGCTATCAGACCAGTACTATACTTTGATGGCTATGGCATTTAAAAGTTCATCCAATATATTTTATATTAATGAACTGTTATTTAATAAGTCTTTGTCTTTTAGATACATGCTGGATTATTTACAGATTAAATGGTATGTCTGAGACTTGCATGAAAATGAAACCGGCCAGTGGATACAAATACAAGCACACAGGAGGTAAAACTGGTCGTGATGGTGATGAGTTAATAGAGATTAATTATACTGTTCTACTTTTGTGTATGTCTTTACATTTCCAAAGCAAAAAGTTTTTTAAAAAAAAGGATCAACTGATTGCTGATTTCAATCTTACCAAATAATCTTCTGATAACTGACTCCCCTTAAATTTAGGCTTTCTAAAGAGAAAATACATTTACCAACTGACAACTTTTTGGTGTGCATGGCAGAAACATTTATTTCTTCTAGTAAATTGGCCTCTATATTGGCTTCTTGTGAGCCTGGATAGCTAGAAATCAGTTCCTTTTGACCATATCAGTTCTGAGTATAAATGGTTTTATAAAACCCAACCTCTAAATCTCCGTAAGGCCAGACTTTAGTCATGGATGTTTCTAAGGGGCCAGCTTTCCCCGTCAAACCCTAGGTAACTTCAATAGTTTTCCACAGATTTAAGTATCCACAAAGGAAGCCTTTTCACATGAGCTCATGTACTATACTTCATTTAAGTTAGCTACTGGATTCTAGATGAAGAACATAACAAATCTGGCATTTTAATACCTTAGATTTCTTATCTGTTTTTCTTAATATTTAGTAACAGAATATGATAAACTATCACTTTAAGTTCTTTACTGCTATAACCATAATCTTGTCAAACTACACAAAGCAGAGCTCGGGAGCTGGCTGACTTGCCATTTGTTAGATTTTGTTTCTTGTCTTATCTTAACCCTCATGTGAATCATCTCTTACAAATTTGGAGATAACCCCACTCATCTATTGCTGCATCTCCACCATCAGCTACCGAAGTCAACAGGGCTCTGTCCCCACAGCATTTTCTCATACAGAGCCCCTAAAGTGGTGGCTTCATTATTTTCTAAAGTTTGTGGAAGGATTATTTTAGTAAATTCCATAACAATTCATTATACCTGTTAGAATGAACACAGTGGCCTAAGTCAGGCACTGGACCATGAGGCAGAGACCTGTAGTCCGTGTTCTAGCACTCCATCAACATGAAGGCACAGGACCCTGGGTAAGTCATTTAACCCACTACTCAATTTCTTTACCTAAAAAGTGGTGGCAATATTTAAAAATTATACAAGGAATTGCTATGAGAGAGATATGTGTATGTGTGTAAGTATGTATGTAGCTGAGATAATACTTCAATACAGTTGAAGCTGGCTATAGACAGAAATAAATATGCTGCCAATTTTCCTATATGTGACATAAAAATAATCACCTGCTTTTTAAAAAACATCCTTGTCATATATACTAGGCACCCCATACACAGAAAGAAATACATTTATAAACTGACAAGACAAGGTTAAAAGAAATCTTGATACAGGACTTAAAGACCAAAATCTAGTTAAAAGTTCTTGAATGGTCTTCTACATAATCATTTCATAGCTAAAGATAGGGTTTGTCAGAAGGATATTTGGAATTTTCTACTACTAAAGAAATCTCTTGGGGATGTAAAAATATATTCTAGTTTACTGTACATCTTCGCTATTAAAAGCAAAATGCAAATTTATTCATAACCACCCAAAATTGAAGCACCATTATTTAAAACATTAAACTAGAAAGTCTATAAAAATTAGTCTTAAACATAACAAATTAGATAAAACTGTACACCAACACCTCTAGTAATAGCGTACCTGTTATATTTAAAACAAGGGACTAGTTCAGAGTCAATAACTTTATTAGAAAAAGATTAATACTAAAACTTTTCAATGACAGAGACAATCAACTTTGTAACAGAAAGCAGAGATACTTTATTTTTACTTCTAATTCCAAAGGCTAAGTATAGCAGAGTTGTAAAAATGGAATCCCACTTAGGCTGATTCAAACAAATACTAATGTTTTATCCTGTTTTCAAAGTCCAAGAATGAAAACTTGCAATTAAACACTTAGCAAGCCACATGTTTAGGTAATATTTCTTAAAAAGTCTTAAAGAAAAAATATGATACATGACCTAAGTTTTCAGTGGCATATATACTATTAACACATGTTCTGAAATCTGGTAGGTCACATCAGTCCTGAATTAATTTTTAATAAAAAAAAAAAATACTAACTGAGCTTTATACTTTTTCTATGCCACTATAAGCTTTCTTTCACCTCATTTAATGTCGATCTTCACTTTATGTCGTTTTCAGTATTCATCCAAAAGTCTTCGAACAGTAGTCCTACAATGCAAAATTTGGGGAAAAATGATAATTAGACAACATGTAAAAGGCTAATTTTTATGACAAAGTGTTGGCCCAGTCACTAACTGCTAATTATAATTAACATGTGTATATGGAATGTTTATATTCTTTTTAATAATCAAGGCATCAATGTGGTTCTTAAAGCCATGTGCCTGTGTATGCTTGCCTACGTGTGAATGGCTCACATAGACATAAATGCTACTACATTGCTTTCCCAGAAAAGGAATGCCATCAACAAATCAACTAAGTGGTACTTCCTTTCATTAGGAATATTTTATCCCACGCCACTAGCCCAAAGAATGAACAAGTTTGTAGGTTTTAAGAACACTTACAGAACCTGACTTTTAATAGTTCTTTAAAAACCCAAATTTATTCCATACAGTGTGTCAGTTCTTTGTATTTCACAGATTGAAGATGTTTGTCCTTGCTATTCACTGCTGCTTTAATTGTATCAGCCAATGACTATTCCTAGATACCTATGGCTGACTGCAAATTCTCCTACACAGTAGGAAATATTAAACACATACCTCTGAAAGACTTGAGAATTGCATTGAATGTAACAAGGCGAATAATATGAAGTGTTTATTGTACTTAAAATTCTTTAAAGATATCTAATTCTGGGCACCACTGCATCCCTACATACAGTTGAAAAAAAATTCCATTCTGTTAACATTTAAGTTTTCACGCAATACACAAAAACCCCTCTGTGCTTCTTGTAAAGAACAAAAAAGATACACAACAGTTAAGCGTAAAGATCACAGGCAATAGCATTCAAACATGGATGTGGGTAGAGAAAGGAGTACCTGGCATGAGTACCTGCTTAGTTTGACTGAATCCTTGATTTTTAATTTGGCTTTTCATGGGCCGCTCACAACACCAACGCTGTGTGAGGTATGGTAGTCAGCTGCAATAATTCATAAACCCTACACTTCCATCAATCCAATGCTACTGGCTCTCGAGTTACAGAACAAACTGCATTAGAATGCAAGGCAATAAAGCAAAAAACTAGAAACATCCTTGACAAAGAAATACTAGCAGTTTAATTAAAACAAAGTAGTCCAACATGTGCCTCAGAAATATTTAAGGTTTTAAAGCATATGTCTCTGCCAATGTACCAACACAAGATGGACTTAATACCAAAAAGAAAAAAAAAGCAGTTCAACCTTTTTATTAAAAAAAAAAAAAAAGAAATGACAGCAAAATCCCTAAAAAAAGGATAATTAACTTTTCAATGGCGACTACATTACAAACGTGGGCAATAATTTCCAAAGAGGCACACTAATGGGGGCACGAGTCTGCTACAAAATAGCTGAGACAAAACAATGTACCTCAAAATGTTTTGCAGGACTACACTGTCTTTTCCTTCAGAAGATGCTTTTGTAAGTCTTCTTACTCGGCTTAGTTCCATCTTCATCTGTGCATACTTACGCTGCACTGTCAAACAGTAACAAAAAGCCCTAATCAAAGTGAGAAACAATACACTTACCTCTGTCTGATCTGAGGTCTTATCAGATCAGTTTTAATTGGACTGAGTGTCACCTTCAGATTTAATGTCTTCACTGGTCCCATTGACCTCATTCTTAGTGTCACTTTCCTTCGATTCAATGTTTGTGTCTTCACTTTGTTTTTCTCGACTACCGGACTTCACACTACTTTTTTTATCATCAGATCCCCTTTTTTCTGCCATAAAAGAAGACATTGACCATGGATTTTAAAGTAAAATACAATAAAGATATGATTTTTTAAAAGTGAAACAATTGAGAGATGAAAGACAATCATTTCCCACAGATTTCAAGTAACAGTTTGGTGAATTTACCAAAGGGATAAAATTTGTAGTTTAAGGGGGAGGGAGAGGGCAGGAAGGGGAATCAAATTGGTAAGAAGCTATTAAGTACAAAGTAGGATATAAAATTTCATTTTGGGTAAAGAACATTAGAATAGGAAAAGTACAAAAGACAGTATATAATACTGTTCATGTGATGTTAAATTATTAAGTTAGAAAGGGTAAAAATACTAATAACTCCCAAAGGTATAAAAGGTTGAAATGTTTAACAGGCATGTTTATCCAATTAATACATATTTTAAAATACAAACAATTATTTATATACATATTTGAGTATCCAAGAAGGACAAGTTTAATGGAAGAAAATGGATCTTAAATCCAAATCTAAGCAACTGAACTTTTGTGCTTTGCTAAGAAAAGCAACATATATGCCATCTGAGAGTTGTTATTCCAAAAGGAAAAATTAAAATTCATCTCAGCTGTAAAAGAATGGAAAAAAGTAAATTTCAGCTTTTTCCTGTACTACTTTCTTTGGAAGTGTAAAACCCTCAGGCTAGAGGCAAAAGCATTACATAGAGCAAGCACATTCTAGGCTTTTTTAGTTCCAAGTAGTTCCCTAACAAAAGATTTCCACAGAAAATATAAACTTTCTGGAAAAATTATTTTTTCCCCTTAAAACTAAGAACACCTGGTCTAACAATAGTTTATAAGACCAAAAGATGTTTTAAGAGAAGCCAAACCCTCCACACAGCTTCTGGACAAAGTTATTAACACACAACACCAAATAACTGGGAAAGGAATGGACATGAAAACAAAATATGGCATGGGAGAAGCACCCACTCAAAGAATGTAAGAACTAAAGATCTTAGGTGAAGGAGCGTATTCAGTCCACAACACTTGCAAAATACACAAAGCAATGTCCAAGTAGTTAACAGCAAGACTTGCTTCATGCCTGTCTGTCCACTGTGGGAACTGTGCCAGTACAGTATGCTCTAACTGACCTTGTGGGAAAGTCCTCCCTTTGTGCCTTATGGGCTTCTCCGGTGCACAGGTAGCTTCAGTGAGGAAGAGTCGTCTTGTTGCTCCGTGGAGGACTAGTAGTCAGTCCAATAATCTTATCTTCTGCCCTATGTAAATATGGTAGATCTTAATAGTCCTAAGGACATCCACAATGTGTGGTGGATTTTAGGGCTATGGATTAAAAAACGAAACCCTCTTGACAAAGAGAGTACCCTAAACTGGTTGATAAGATAGCTTTGTGTGAGAAACCACTTTTCATTTGTGGAGTTAGATAAACTGCTTCCATCACAGCACCTGGAGTAATGAACTTGTTCTTACTCATTTGCCATTATCAAGTGCCTGCTACTACTCATACCTAGCCCAAGGTCCAGATCTTCAGTCATTTATATACTTAAGGAGCATCTAGATGGATACACAGCATTTTCAAAATCCAGTAAGTCATACCATTTCTGAAAGTGGGTCCTACAGTTTAAGATAACTCTACAATGAAGACGAGCCTGATATAGTTTTCTTGGTATCCAGTTTTCTTCTTTCCTTTCTCCAAGTCTCATTCAAGAAAACCTGTCTGTCTAAACAAGCTTATTTTGCATAAATAAAAGTTTAGCTAAATTCCATGATGTTGTCATTTACCATTAGGATTACAGGTAAGCAACTCAGGACAACTTTTTTACTCTACCCAGAAATTATACAAATATGCCTGTTTCTAGGCAGGCCAGTGCCATTTACTGCTTAACTTTGATTTTAGGTAGTTATGAAGGATAGCTAGCTTTTACCCATAAGAACCGACCAACCAACCATTTTAAGTGGCACAAATGATGACACAGAATAGAGCAACTGAAGTAACAACCGAATATAAAAGACTAAAAACTTTCTCAAAAGAGAAGTGATTAATTTGACCTGATATCCATATCTGGCTCTTGAGAATTGACTCCTCACCTCAAAAATATATTACACAGAAAGTCTTGCAAAAAGATTGGGCAAAATGTTCTTAAAATGCAAAGTCAGTTAACCTTTGGTAGTGATTGCCTTTTGAATCACAGAAGCAATTTCTGAACTTGAATGGCAAGTACTGAAGTTCCTGAAAGTCAAAATGTTTCTTACTTTTTAACATTTTTCCATGTTATAGAAAAAGCCAATAAATGGAAAACAAATACATTTTTAAAACACAGGGTCCACTTATTTAAGAATAAAAGCAGAAGCCAAAAACTATGTCCACTGTTTATGCTGCTAGTTCTAACTCAATCCAGTAAAAAACTAGGATAGTTCTATAAAAGAATAAAATAAATAAATACTTCATAAAAGACCAGTATAATAAACTCAAACAGCAGCTCCAATGTTGGGGATCAAACATGGACAGGAAGACAGAACAGAATGGAACAAGCAGAGCTAAGAAAATCAGAAATAGGCCCCTTCCCTCATTCCTAAAACCATGCAAAGCAGAACAGCCCAGTGTCAATACAAAATCAAAGATGCTAAAGAATCAGAGAAAACAAAAGAAAAGGGAAGAGACCCTGATAATTAAAAGAATATTTTTCAATAAAAGCTAAAAGATGAGAATATTCTTGTGAAAACATGCCAGACAAAATGAAAAGTCCATTAATAGTGCTTATAGCACAGCAAGTCAGCTATTGGTATGCCACAAAAAACTAAAGGAAGAAGTAGAAGTGAAAGAGCATGTTGATTCAATAGCAAACATGTTAAGACACATGTAAGGTATTCAACTTCTAGATACTTAGAATTACTGAGTTAAATGAATGTTGCAAACAAAGATCAATGCAACAAAATACATTTAGATTACAAGACATATTATGGAACACTGCAGTGAATTTAAAAAAATGTAGCCAGTAACCAAGGTAATAAATTCTACAGCTTAATAACCCTGAAAGGAAACACAATACTTGAAAGAATCCAGATGAAAAATCTTCAGGTTAGCAATCGAAGGATGTGATTTTAACATGCCCTAAGAAAACACCAGGCCAACTGTCATTCTCACAAATCAAAGCAGAAGGGGGGAAAGAATGCCTGTCTCCTACTGAATGGTGTTCCTTTTAAATGAAAAAGAGTATGCTTCAAATGGAACTCTGCCTGTGTCTGGAGAAAAGTGTGTGAAAAGTCTCTTAATGAACTGAATTTTCATAGGAACTAACCTTTCTCCTTGGATTTTCTATCTTGTTCTCTGTCCCGACTTTTGCTCCTGTGCTTATATGACTTTCGATCCCGGCTTTTTGATCTTCTTCGATCTCGACTTCGAGATCTATGCTTTCTTTCTGATCTGTCCATGGCTTCTGCTTTCCCGTCGATCTCTACTTCTTAATAATTTAAAACAAAAGGAAGGCAACTTCAGGTGGTATTACAGTGAGAACACACCCTTAAAATATACACACTGATTGAGAAACAATGTTAACCACAAAACCCTTAAAAAGCAAATGAAAAAACCTACTAAAATAAAACATATTACATTAGAAATTTTAAGAATCGAAAATCTTTTGAAATTCATTTATCTCATAGTGCTAATATTATTACTGTGTTTATTATAAGCATCTATCATTTACACTCTAATCAACGTATGGTTATTATATATTTTGATTGTCTTACTTAGAACAGTGAGAAACTCAAGTCAGGGTATACTGCTACTTCCTAAAAAGGTTGTGTCAAATCTCCTATAGCAGGTGGGCAAACCAGCAAAAAGCAGCTGCTGAAGATGGGAGCCATTCACTGATTCAGCCTCACTCTCTATCAGTTCTCATTCTACGCATTATCAAGATATTTAAGAGCTTCCAAGTATAATTCCAAGGAATAACCATAATACAACTGCCACTGTTTATTGCATTCCAATCTGATAAGCCCTGGATGTGTCTTCCGGTGCTTTACATACCTGCTTCCGCCTTCTGTCTCTACTCCTGTGACCTTTTGTGTCCCGGAGACCTCAGGACTGCTCTTCGGTCTGCAAGTTCGGCCCCTTTGAGGTGCCTACTTCGTGACGACTTCTCTTTCTTCCCTTTCTCTGTCCGAGCACCTTTTTTTTCTATTCTTTCTCTTCTCTTCGTCTTTTCCTTTCTCCTTTCTTCCCTCTCTCCTCTCCCTCGTCTTTTCTCCTTTCTTCTCCCTTTCCTGCTTCTCCTTTTTTAGACGTTCAATCCACGATCAGGTTTCTTTCAGTTCTTTTTCTCAAAACTTTTCCTACACAGGAAATCAAGTCGCGTCTTTTTAACAACTGTAACCTTAAAGACCAATGCCCAAAAGACAAACTGCGTCACTAATGCTGAACGCTACACTTTGTAGACCAACTTACTGGAAGCCTGATGCCCTTCTAAGGAAATGTAGAGAAATTCCAATACCATATGTGTTGCCACAAGATAATCATTAACATGACTAAATCCCTCCAGGAATATTCCCTTCCCCAATATTTCTGGTACTTTATAGAATCAAGAAAATAAAGTGGCTTTCAAAGTTTAATAAAATAGTAAAATTTACACAGGGGATTCTCAGTGCTTCAAGTAATACACCACTTCAGGCCAAAACTATCAATGGGAGGCCATTCTATCTCCCATGTGATCAATTTTTAGCTATATTCAAATAGCTGGGACCCACAGGCCATGCACCCACCCATGACGCTGGCTATTTATTCCATGTAACTTTTAATTGGCCAACTTAATTTTCTTTCTATTGTTAGTAAAACAAGGTCTTGCTCTTGCTCAGGCTGGTTATGCCGAACTCCTGCCTTGAGCGACCTCGCTCCCTGCCTCGGCCTCCGCAAGTGCTGGGATTAGCAGGCTGTCGACCCCACCGAGCCCCAGCCAAAATCATGATTTTTAGCTATACTAAAATATATATTTAGAAGAAACTTATCACTTTTAAAGTGTTCTTCTACAGTAGCTTTAATCTTGGCATAGCCCATGTGTTGTTTTCCCATCAAATGGTCATCTACCCGAGACTGGGCATCTCCTACTATCAAAAAGGCTCCACACACTTCACAAACCTCCATTTGTTTTTCTTGAGCAGCGAAACTTTCAATTGTCTGAAATGATAAATCAGTTATTACAATAATACCCAAGGAAGAGAAACAAATCCCAAAAAGTAGTTAACATTTAGAACAGATTTCTAATGTGTCTGAATTGCTATTGTCCATTTTCCCAAAGCAATAATATTAGAAACTGGTCAACTATTAGGAAAGCACAGCAACCAAGCTGCCTTATTATATAGGAAATGTACTGAGACCCACTGTTCAACTGTTGAACACCAATGTCACCTTAAAAATTTTAAACTACCTTTCAGAAAACTACCTATTTTATACTGAATTCATTTCTTGCATAGATTCAATTCTGTTCAGTTCAGTTAGTTAAAAAAATAAAAAAATTTTAAAATATCATTAAGGAACTTACTGAGTATAATCAGAACATATCCTATTCAATACTAGAGAACCAATGACCAATTATATTCTACTATCATTAATATCTAAAACATGTATATTGTACATGTTTTAGATATTAAAAGTAAAAGGTTAGAGACAATGTGTGCCAATTTCTAAGGTAAATAGGTACTGAGTAATTTACTGTAACAAAAGTGAAAATAAAATCCAGGATCAAGTAAATATTTAAGATTTAAGGCAGAGATTAGCAAGCTAGCCGCTAAAGGACTGTTTTTGTAAATATAGTTTTACTGGAAAACAGCCACACCCATTTATTTAGGTATTATCTAATACTGAGTTCATGATACACAAGCAGTGCTCAGTAGCACCCAGGGACCTTGTGGCCTACAAACAAAGTATTTACCACATGGCCCTGTAGGAAAAAGTCTGACGACTTTCACTTTAAGACATTAAAAAGTTGTTTCCAAAAGTTCTCAAACAGAAATGGGTCCCTAGTAATTCATAATGAATAGGCTAGATGATTTAAAATGAGGTGTTACTTACCGAGGTTGTGGATCTAAGCAATTCTCTCTCTTCTTTTAACTGTTCAACTAATTTCATCATCCCCTGGGCCTCCTCTACCTTTCCCTCAGATCCTAATTCTTCAATCTGAAAGGGTGAGGGGCAAAAAGACAGTCAAGAATTCTAACCAAATTATTTTCTTTTCTCCCCATACTTCATTAGTATTAAGTGTTTATTTTCCATCTTTTTTGTTTACTAAAGACTCTTTGGGTTTAATTTACCCCTGTGGTTTTTTTAATGAGTCTAACTGATGGGTAAAAAAATGCATTTTTATGCCACACAACTTGGTAAGTCTGGACAGAAGTATATACCCATAAAATCATCACCACCATATGTATAATGAACATATCCATCACTCCCCAAAAGGTTTCCTCTGGCCTCTTTTCAGTACCTCCTCCAACCTCAAACCCATACACATCCTCAGGCAGCCACTCTTCTGCTTTCCATCACTATAGATTAGTCTGCATTTTCTAGAATTTTATATAAATGGAATCATACTGTTTGTACTCCTTTTTTGGTCTGGCTTCTTTCACTCAGGCTAATTATTTTAAAATTCATCTATACTGTTGCATGTAGTTAACTCATTTTTGTCACTAAGTGATATTCCAACATATGGATACACCACAATTTAATTATTCATTTACCTGCTGGTGGGTATTTGAATTGTTTCTAATGTTTTTTGTTTTTTTTTCTTTTTTGGTCTATTATAAATAAAGACTTGTACAAGTCTTTGTGTACATAAATGTTTTCATTTCTTTTGGGTAAATACTCAGGAATGGCTTATGGTACTTTTGGGGGGAGGGCGGGAGCATAGAGAAGGGGGCTCACTCTGCCATCCTGGCTAGAGTGCAGTAATGTTATCATGGCTCACTGCAACCTTGAATTCCTGGGTTCATGCCACCATAACCAGCTGATTTTTTAATTTTTTGCAGAGACAAGGTCTCACCATGTTGTCCAGGCTGGTCTCAAATTCCTGGGCTGAAGCAATCCTCTTGCCTTGGCCTCCTGAAGTGCTAGAATTATAGGTGTGAGCCACCAGGCCTGGCCAGCATTATTATTAACTTTTTAAGAAACAAATTATTTTCCAAAGTAGTTGTACTATTTTATACTTTCACCAGCAGTGTATGCAGTTCCAGCTGGCCCACATTCTCACTAATGTTTGGTATGACCAGTCCTTTTAATCTGTATTTCCCTAATGACTAATAATATTGAGCATCTTTTCCTATTTGCCATCCTTATATTTCTGCTTGTTAAGTGTCTGTCCCTAGTAGTTTCTGACATCAGTGCACATAATTCTCACCTGCTGCAGGAGCACATCAATTTTGTCTGTTAGAACCTGAATTTTTTCTTCATTTTTGCCTGTTGGGCCAGCTGCCTGTTAAAGACAACAAAATATATCACAAACAAATATCTACAAAGATAAACATTCAAACTCTTATATGCTATACATTATTATTTCCAAAGTATTCATACTATTCTATACCTTCACCAGCAGTGTATGCAGTTCCAGCTGGCCCACATTCTCATTAATGTTTGGTGTGACTAGTCCTTTTAATCTGTATTTAATATTAATATTAAACATTAAATTTAATATTAATATTAAATATTTAATCTGTATTTAATCTAAAATGTTTAATCAAAAGGATAATTCAATTACCTTCAATTTCTAGTCAATTACATATTTTGTCAGTTACTGATATTTAACACAAAAATCTTATGACTAGCAAAATCAATGTTACTAATAAAGACTGAAAAAAAAATGAATGCCTTTAAGTTTTAAATCATTCTAAAAGAACAAAGTAATAGAAGACATTTTCAAAAGTATTAGGGAGGTCTCTGAGTCTCCAGAGAACACGGATGCTTTATGAACACTGTAAATTCATTTCATACTTACCCCTGAGGACTGCTGGTTTTGAGATAATGCCAAACGAGCATGGCCTCGTCTAATTCTACGTTCTACTTCTGCAAGTAAGCTCTGTAAGTATCGCAAAAAATCTCTCTCATAGCCAACTTTCATAAAACGAGAACTCTTCTCATACCTAATAAAATGAGAACAAACAAGCACTACTTTCCAAACATTTATCCATTACATCTCATATACTCTATCTTAACCAGTCTCAATGACTGCGGCATTCAGGCTAAAGAGCAAACCGGAAGCATATGAAGTGAATTTCTGGTTGCCACCAGGGAAGTCAATATAGATCATTATGTTTGGTTTAGAGCACAGGTTTACAAAAGGGTTTGACCACCAGCTCTATCACTACACTAGATCTCTGACTCTGGACCTGGTACAAGTCTTATCTATAAAATCGTGGCTGTTAAAAAGCAACTGTCACGCAGAAAAAAAGCTTGGCGTGTAAGTATGTACCTCATATGGTGGTTAATGGTATCATTACTGAAGCCATATAACCTTATTACCATCCCCAGCTAGTGACTAGACCTCTCTCAGACATTCATTTTGCTTAATTTCAATTATTTCTTCAACCCTTGTCCCCTTTAAACCAAATGTTGAGTGGGGGGGGGGAATGACAAAAAAGCACAACTACTTACTGTTTTCGTAAGTTTTCATCGTGAATTTTTTCACATGGACCTAGGGGAAGAAAAGAAGATATAAATTATTCATGACATTAGCATTTTTTCTTGCCAAAAAAAAGAAAATTATTTTTGATTTTTAAAAAGAAAAAGACGTATTTTATCACTAAGCAGTCTGTAGACAACTAAAGTGATCCTACTGAACCATGAAGCATTATGGCCAAATAGCACGTGAAAAGTGATCTCCTCAGTCTTCAAGGTTAATACAATAGGGAGCAACTATAGGATAAAAACAGAAGGGAGGGAGGGAGAGAAAAAGGCAGGAAAAAAAGGGTAAGGAGGAAGGAAATTGTTCCTTATTGCCACCAAAGAAAACTCTGCCCGGGTGGACCACTGGTCTGAACCATCAATGACATTTTATTATTTTCAAATACCTCCAGATAAAGTCAAATAGCACAAGACTAGCACCCTAGTCCTACTCCTGCCCACCTTCAAAAAGCAACCAACTTCACTGTTAGCTGTTTCTGTTGGACTTTATCTCATGTTTCTCAAGCTTATGCTTATTTCTCTTTTTCTTGGTTTATCAATCTTAGACATTTAAATTTTAGGTTAAACAAACATCCAATGTTTATAGTTCAACTATGCAAGTACTGTTCATTGTCAGGCCAAACAAAAGGTGCATTATGTGATACTTCTGATACACTTTTCATGAAATTTTTTCATCTGTTTAGTTTTCTATGTATCTATTTTAAAATTCTTCTTAAACACTCAACTCAGCTATAGAAACTTTCTCATACTAATTTCCCTTAAAACTCAAAATACATCAGATAATCAGTTTCATTTTCTTCCATGAACTTTCCGTCTTACTTCAATCAGGGATACTCATTTTCTAAGCTCACTAAAGAGTTGCCATCCTGATGAATTCCTTTTCTGCTTTGTACTGGATGAGTTTTCCTAGATTCTCTTGTTTTTCGCTCCTTCTTAGTTTTGCACATTTTGGTGGAGTTCCTGAGAAAAGGTCCATGGGAGATAAATTTGTTGAGATCTTGTATGTTTGAAAATGCCTTTTTTCACTTCATACTTTGATGTCTGACTATAAAACTAACGTTGGCAAAAATATTTTCACTCAGAGCCCTGAGGGTGTTTTTCCCCAAAGTCTTCAAGCTTCCTGCATTGCTAATCACCAGTCTTGGGCCATTCAGATTCATAAGCCTGTGACTTACACATCCCCTCACATCCCAGGTGTACTGAAATTTCATAATCCTATACCTTGGTATGGATCCTGTTCATTCACTGTCAAGACCACTTGTAGGATCTGCTCAATCTAGAGACTGATGGCCTTCAGTACTATAATTTTTTTTCTTAAGCTATTTCTTTGGTCATTTCCTTCCCCCTCTGCTTACTCTGTCCAGAACTACTAATTGGGTATTAGAGTTCCCTAATTTTTTAAAAAATTATCTTTTCTATCCTATTGCCCAACGTTCCAGCATTTGATTTTGATTTTATTTTCACATCTTTCCAGTGATTTTATTTCAGATTTCTCCAGGTGTAATTTCTAAGTGCTTTTTATTTTTCAAAAGTTCCCTTTTTATGGATCCAATTCTGATGAATGCAGTATCTTCTCTTATTTCTCTGAAGATACTAAATTTAGTTATGATTTTTAAAATTTTCTTTTGTCTTGCCCATTATCTCTAATTCCACTAAGTTTTTCTCTCTCTTTTGGTTTTGGTAAATCTCTCACATGGAAGGTTTTCTTCAAATGTCTGGTTGGTGCTCCTTGGCTGGCAACTGGTTTTTAAAATAAACCTCCAAGATCTGAGTGGAAGTTACTATGGATCGGCTGGGTTTGTTAACTATTGCTTCACCATAGGAAAACCAGGCAGTAAGACTTTAAGAGATTCCCCAAAGGTCAGTATCTGTAGAGGTCACTTCTCTGGAACTGTTTACTTTCTCTAGATAAGAATCCTCTTTTCTTCTGCCTGGGGAAAAACATCTGGCTGTATCCTTCTAGGAACGGGGTAGAGGACAGCCTCATATTAAGAATACAGACTCATTTCATCTCTTTTACAGTCTTATTTTTACTTGCTGCTGATCTGTGCTATCTCTGCAATCACAAGATCTAGACTTTCCTGGCCCTAAAGCGTCCCTAATGCTCTAAAACAAACATTGTACATAATGAATTAACTTCTTTAATGTATCTGGAATGATACTAGTTATGTATCATCCTTGAGAGAATTGAGAAAATAGTCAATTATTTTTTGTATTTTGTGGTTCAGATGAACTAGAGTCTCTCCAGTTCAATTTCTCCAGAAAATAAACCTGTATTTTCCTGAGATATAGGGGTAGGGGAGGTAAAATCAACATATATACAGGACAACCTAGACTAGTGGCTCTCAAATGGGAACACTTTTGAACTCTGGGGGACTTCTGGCAATGTCTGAAGACATTTTTAAGTGTCACAACGGGATGTGCTACTGGCGTCTAGTGGGTAGAGGCCAGGGATGCTGCTAAACATCCCACAATGTATGGCACAGCTCCCAAAAAAACTGGCCCAAAATGTTAATAATGTCAAGGTTGAAAAACCCTGAACTAGACTAATCTCTCTTAATTTCAGACCCATGACTCAACCCTGCCTTCTGTGGTACCTGGTGCCTCCAAATCCTGAGCCTGTCCAGCGTTCTGCTGATCAAACACTTGCTTCTGTTTAGTATCCCCTTCTGCAGGCTTTTAGGGTACAGGCTTCTCTGCTCTGTTGAGTTTGCTGCTACTCCTCCATCCACTTGCCATCTTCCAAAAATTTGCTGACATCTCTAATGTTATCTCCTCTTCCATTTACATCTTTTTAAAATTTTCATTTTAGTGAGATTTTGGGAGGGAGTGGAAATAGACATGTATGTTTAATTAAGCCACCATGTTTAATCAAACTGACATTTATTAACACATTCATAAATACCTAAGCCAAGAAATTACTTAGCAAAACTTTAAGAAAAAAAACAGGAACTACAAAGGACCAGTTTTTTTTAAAGTCATAAATTTGATAAAAGATACACAGAAAATTCACTTACCAAGATCAGAACGAGTATTTGTGAACAGTTCCGCAGGACAAAAACCACAGAGATAATATTTACAAACCTAGTGGGGGGAAAAAAAACAAAGGTACTTAATTTTTTTAAATTGCTCAGTTTTAAAGCTATTTTGGTAAAGGGTGCCACATAACTATTGTCTAATTTCTTCATGTATATATCTTTCAATCAAATATAAGAACAAGTTCATTTGCTGAATCATATAAACTAGGTAAATTAGTGACTCTTAGACTTCCAAATTTCAATAAAAGAATAGATGTGCAGTACTGACAGAATTACCTACCAATATTTTCTACTATTAATAAATATTTCTAACTGCCACCTGTTGGTTCTCCAGTAGCAAAAACAAATACGGGAAAGACATCCCAGAATAAAGGGAAATCTTTATATTAAAAAAACCCTACACTATTCTTATTCTATTTATTTAACAGACTAGAACCTATTTACAGATTAGGATTTGGAAATCACTGTCTAAATTACAGATAACACTCATTTAAAGCAACTCGGTTCCAAATTTTTAAAGATCTTATAATACACCATAAAATGTACTGGATAGTTTCATACATGCCAACACTTTATTGAATGACTCTTGGTGGGATATGGGGGGAAAACTATTAATATGAAACCAACATTTAATTCTCCCCATTGGTACTACTGTTAACTCCTTCAGATACAGTCCAAAACTGCTCTATTCTGTATTTAATTCTGTAACACTGCAAACCAAACCATGTAAATCAGAATTCCAAAGCATCACTCTCTCCCTTCACATAAAACTTCATCATTACTACGTGGATTATCAATGCACAACTATGACATATGAAAGAAAAGGTAGTGTTAAATTTAAATTTGAGAGTTCTTTCTAGACACTTAGGACTGGGTGGTAAATCTGAAAAGACTGCTTTCTGCCTCAAAGGCTTTACACTCATTTGAAGCAATGTGGTCCCATAAGCTGCATCCAAAGAGCTAAAGTCATAAAACATATCTAAACAGTCCCTAAACAACAGATTTAGTTTTATGCCAAGATTATCCTGACATAACCTTATGTCTTAGTATCTTTATACTATTTTCTTTCTTTAGAAGTTCTAATATTTGATTTTTGAGATTACTCTTTGCAGCTGGGCACAGTGGCACATGCCTGTACTCCCAGCTACTTGGGAAGGTAAAGTGGGAAGACTGCTTGAACCCAGAAGTTTGAGGCTATATGACTGTCCCCCTGAACAGACACTGTACTCTAGCTGGGCAACACAGTGACACCGTTTCTTTTTAAAAAAAAAACTAAAATTAATTCTAATTTGTTAAACTTTGCATTCACTTTAGGTGTGTCACAATAAAATACCAATGCTAGTATTCAATTTTTAAAAAATATTTAATAATTTCTTTATTTGGGGGAGGCAAGATGGAGCGAAGAGTACGCCACTTTCACTGTGGCCTAATCTTTCAGACTATTACATTAACCCTGGTTCCACAGACCCAACAATTACTTAACAAATTTCACAAAACTGTGTTTAGTAAAGTTACTGCCACAATCTGCCATTATCGATAGCTGTAAACTATACGGTTATATAATGATCTTGAAACACAAAATTTTGTGTGCAGCTCTCGTAGACATAAAACTTGACTATTACTGTGCATTTTACCTTTAAACAGTCATTTTAATTTCTATTTCCCACTTTTACAGAAGTATATTCTAGGGTTTTAGAGAAGATTTTATCTAAAGATTAATTTTATGGTTTTCAATAAGACTGCTATTGTTGTCATCATGACCAACATAAGACTATTATTCCCTCTTACGTATAAACTGGTCAAGCCACAATCTCTATTGATCTTCAGAAAGGCTCATTCATTAAAACAAGAGGAATAAACACTTCTCTACTCTCCCTCCTGACTCTTAAAATATAGCCACATACAAACTTCAAGTGTTTCTAGAAAATAGCAACATAGTACTTATTGAAGCAAATGTGAAAAGACACATAAAAGTATGAAACAGTCAAGGGTGAAACAGGTACGCTTTGGAGAGGCAACATGATGTAGAGTTCAAATCCTGGCTGCCATTTATCTGCTATAGAAACAAATTGCAGCTGGGTGCGGTGGCTCACGCCTATAATCCTAGCACTCTGGGAGGCCAAGGCGGGCTGGGCGGATTGCTTGAGGTCAGGAGTTCGAAACCAGCCTGAGCAAGAGCGAGACCCCATCTCTACTATAAATAAAATTAATTAGCCAACTAATATATACAGAAAAATCAGCTGGGCATGGTGGCACATGCCTGTAGTCCCAGCTACTCGAGAGGCTGAGGCAGGAGGATTGCTTGAGCCCAGGAGTTTGAGGTTGCTGTGAGCTAGGCTAAGGCCACGGCACTCACTCTAGCCTGGGCAGCAAAGTGAGACTCTGTCTCCAAAAAAAAAAAAAAAAAAAAGAAACAAACACAAGTTGTAATTCTGCCTTGATTCCCTCATATTAAAAAAGGAGGTAATAAATATCTCCCATGTGATTATGAAGATCAAAACCATATACATGTGTTAAACTGGGAGAAAAGGGTGAGTTATCCTTATTTTTAAAATACTACCAATTAATTTTTAAGATGCCTTTAGGTGCTATGCAGAGTAGACCAAATAAGACATGCCTGTCTGTGGACTAACCAAGAGCTATCAAATTTAGTTTAATCACCCCATTTGAGTGGAGAAAACTGAAATCAAACACAAGACCTGCCTGAACACATCCAGCTACTAAGAGAATCCAGAACAGAATCCATTTAAATCCAGTTCCACGGGCTCTTTCCCTCTCAAGATACTGCTTGACCATTTAATGGCACATCAAATTTGTTACTCTATCCAATAAACTCTAGCTATTTAGACTGCTTCTTTTAACTCTCCACAGGGATTGAGGATGTTCAACTAAAAATATTAACAAGAGACCCCCAAGCAGGCTCACTTCAGTAATCCTAGCACTCTAGAAGGTGGAGGATTGCTTGAGGTAAGGAGTTCAAGACCAATCTGAGCAAGACCAGCCCAGTTCTCTGAAAAAAAATAGAAAATTAGCCAGGCGTAGTGGCACCTGCCTGTAGTCCCAGCTACTTGGGAGGCTCAGGCAGGAAGACACATTAGCCCAAAAATCTGAGATTGCAGTGAGCTATGATGATGCCGCTGCACTCTAGCCGGAGCGACAGAGCAAGACTCTGCCTCAAAAAAATAAAAAATATATAAAAAGGTGTATATATATATATGTATATAAAAAAAGATCGGCAGTACATGCATATTTGGGTGCTTAAAGCCATCAGTGCCAATAAAAAAAAAAAAAAAATCAACCAAGAGAATTAGTATCTTTTGGATATAATCATGCCAATTGTTCAAGTTTTGGAATACTAGCAATAAGCATTTAATAGTGACCCCCTAAAAGATATAAGCCTTTATTACAAATTAGTAATCTTGCAAACTCTCTAAATATGTACTAATTCACTCATTCACTTAGCCTTTTATTCAGCAAGTCTTTATTAAATGTCCACCATGGACCTAGCAACTTAATAACCAAAGATGGGAGGCATAAACATCACAGAGGGGATGCTAGAATTCTCTTAACATAATCATGATTTATCCTCTTAATAAGTGTAAGGCAACATCAATTACCAGAAGAGCTCAATCTCATCAGAAACATAATCAATCTTGGAAATTTGACTAGAAAATTTTAATTGCAAGTTTCCACCATTTAAAACACAGTCAAATTGCCAAAAAATTAAAATATCTGGTGTTAGATACACTGATGGGAAAGTGACACTCCAAATACTACAGGGCCCAGGGACAACTGGGCAGCATTCACCAAAATGTAAAATGTGTATTCCTTTAATCTTTCTAGGAACCTGTCCTACAAGTGGCTCAGATATACATTCTAGAATATTCACTGCAGCTTAGTTAGCAACAGCAAGAGAAATCAGACATAATCTACATATCCAACAGGAAACAAATAGTTAAATAAGGTAGATTCATATGTACCAACAAGGAAAAATCCCACAGTACAAGTGAAAATGTTGTAAAAAAAAAAAAAATCTGGCTGGTCCGATGGTAGTGGGTTATCAGAACTTATTCACATTAGTGTCACTAAAGTTGGTATTTTCAACCCCCCACTGCTAAATTTGACTGGCTTAAAAAAAAAAAAATCAAAAATTATACGTCTGTAAATTATTAGGAAAGGTCTGGAAACACATACCAATTTTTAAGTTGTCTTGGGGAAGGACTTGGCAATGGGGAAAGGAGCAAGAACAGATTTTTTTTACATCTGTTAAATTTGAATCTTTAATAGCAAGCATGTTTCCTTTCATAAAAAGCAATTTTAATTCTAAACTCAGAAAACATAAAACAGTAAAATCAACTGTCTTATACAAATGGAATCAATCTCTAATGAGAACATTATTTAATGTAAGGAAGACACATATTGGGGGATTTAAGTACAGTATGAATATTTAACTGGGAAAATGCTAAGGCATCTTAACAGTGCCCTTTTTTACTAGCATTCACTTCTTCTAACATAGGTATTTCTCAATTCTGATTATCGATTTCTTCCAATTACAAAAGTACACTAAGAACATCTATCTCAATGTTTCTGTCTTTCTGTACCTATTGAAACCCAAGAGCAAGCAATGTAATTCTCCCTTGAGCTAATCATATATTTTCAATGCAGTCTGCATTATTTTTGTTAAACTACTTACAAAAGATAATGCATTTATTCAATGTCTAATTCTGATAGTCTAAACACTGGTAACACGCCAGGGCCCAGAACTTTGGGAAGCCAATGTAGGAGGACCACTTGAGGCCAGGAGTTTGAGACCAACCTGGGCAACACAGTGAGACCCCGTCTCTACAAAAAATTTAAAAATTAGGTGGGCATGGTGGTGTGATCCTATAATCCCAGCTACTTGGGAGGCTGAGGTGGGAAGATCATTTACACCCAGGAGTTCAAGGTTACAGTGAGCTATGAATGTACCGCTGCACTCCAGCCTGAGTGACAGAGAGGCCCTGTCTCCAAAAAAAAAAAAAACAACTACATACAAACATACAGGAA